GGTTAAGAAGGGTATTTCAGGCAAACTTCTGTGGTGTTTTGGATTAGTGTGGATTAAGATATAAAATTTCTCCCAATTAGTCAAGCTACTTCCAGATACGCTTCATGTAACATTGATTTTTGCCCAAATGGGGACCATTGTCCTTACTCTCCTTAATTGTTAATCAATGCTTTTTCCATAAAAGGAGCAATAACGAAAAACTTGAAGAGCTTCCAATTTCAAAATCATCATTTAAAATAAGTTATTGGGATGGCCAACAGAATCAAGGTACCACTTATATTGTATACCCATACAATAACTTAAGTCTTCCAAAGGGGCTTCACCTTCACACAATCAAAACCAGGTCATAATGACTCAGGAAGTTGGTGTTATTCCTAGTTGGTATTTTGTGAAGTACATGGCCTGACCTAATATTGGAAAAATTTCAACGGGAGTGGTCCTCGAGCTTTATGTTTTATGTGGCCCAGAGACTGCAGATAGTATTCAGCAAGAGGTGTCTACTTGCATAAAACCATGCCTTTCATCTTAACTAATTGCCTCCAAAACTGTGGATTAAACATCCTTGTTGCCTTCAGTCTTTGAAATTCATACACCTGCATAAACCTGAATGACTTCTACCAATTTTGATTAGCCTCCCTCCCTTGGACTGTAGCTGTGGATCCTATGTAAAGAAGTTCCACTTACATGTATTACCTTGAAGCATAAATACCTGCAAAACAGAATTCCAGTTAATCTGGCCTTATATGCGGCTATACAAAAAAGGTTCCTCATTAAGCCAAACTTCAGACTTTAACTTGGAGACCTCAATGGACTGACCATCATACTTGCTGCCTTTTAATCAAGCCCACATACCAGGCACTGTGGAGTAAACTGTATACTTACATTTTGTGTACTCCAACTTAATTTGTAGGTAATTGTCTATAAACTTTCTGGTTGTTTCCACTCTTATCTTTGTATTTCTAGTCATGTTCTGATCTTCAAAGCGATTACATGAAACATATTTTCCCAGTGAAATCCCGTACTCTCATGACTGAGATGCAAATCTGGCTTAACATGCCATTTTGTAAGAGACATCAGGTAAGTTATTACCTAAAACTAACCAGGAGTATTTAAAAGTAACAATCAAGTTTAGCACAGGAAATAAAAAGTCTCCACCTTAATACATGCTCCCAAACCTCAAAGAATGATGGGAGCATCACTGTATAAATGGATGCTATTTAATGTCCAGTGCTCAGTTCTTACATATCTTATCAATGAAGAAAAGTGACAGCAAAGAAACCACAAAAGAGAAATTTAATTTGCTTGAACATCAGAGCAGGCTTTATAAAAGCAAGATGAAAGTTTTCAAAGCTATTGCTATTTCTCAGCTTCCCATATTATTGTGAAAAAATTGCTGGCAAATACCAAGTCAAAAGGTCATTCAACTTTTTAGAAGATGCTTGTTTGAAAATTCTTATTTCTCTTCATCTTTATGGATTCCTTAATCTTAAATCTTTTTGTGTCTGCAATGAATTTTAGTATAAAAGAATAGTTTTCTACATGAAACAAATCAAATATATTTAGAAAGAGCCATTGAAATACCAAGGACTTTTTCTTTCTTGTTTATCTTGCTTTTGAAAATATGAACAGAACAAATAATGTTTAAAATGAATCCAGATACTTTCAATTGTTACCTGATAGCCCTCTGAAAACATACATGTGCTACTATAAAATAATGAAGTCCAAATATTCAGTACATATTAAATTTTAAAAATTAATTCTTTTCACTCTCTAAATAATTATGACATTTCCCTCAAAACCAATTGTTTACTTCACTACCGCATAAGCTTACTATATTCACTCAGTCGCATTAAGACTTCATCAATTATTTACCAATATAAACTGGACATTTTGTGATTTTATGAGTATATCTCAATATATATAATCAAATTCCATTTTTCAAATTCCAAAGTAAATTTTTATCATATCATTGATATCTATGAAATAATCAAATCAGTTATATTAGCATCTGGAATTTTTATTCACGGTGGGCCTAGAATCATTTTTTATAAAATTGCAACCCTCGGCTAATTGATGGGGTCAGCATCAGGGATTTAGTTCAATAAAATGATCTTCTTATATGATATTACATAATTATTTGTTCTTATCTGTTCACTTTTGTCTAGTTGTTTAGATAAATTAACATAACCTGAAATTTTTGTTTACATATATAAGAAAGACCCCCTAAAAACCAGAATCACCTTTTGGAGGGTGGACACCTTGTAGTAAAGTCATTCCCCCAGGTAAGTGGTGTGGGAACCCATCACCATCAGTGTACAAGCTAGCATTGTTGTGAGAGGCTGTATTCGACTTCAGTGAATTTTTTTTGTAGATCTTTTCAATGTGTTTGCCCATTTCATGATGGGTGATTTACATGCCTACCTGCCCACACCGAGCTAAGTGTCTAGCAGTTTTTGACTAAAAATGGCATGACCCCTATATCCCACCTTTCCTATTTACCTGTCATTGTCCCAAGTGACTTTTTGTGTGTGTTTGTGCAGATGAAAAAAGTCCTCAAAGGGAATCATTTTGCTGATGTGGAAGAGGTGAAACAAAAAACAGCAGAAACACTAAAAAGACTCAAAATTGATGAGTTAAAAAACTGTTTTGAGCAGTGGAAAAAGCATCTCGATGGTTGTTTTGCATCAAACGGAGAGTGCTTTGAAAGTGACAGAGGTTTAAACATGTAAGAATAAATACACAATTCTTCACATATAAATTCGGGTTTTTTGGAGTCCCCCTCATATTGTCAATTGGAAAAATTTTGCTGTAATAATTACCATTACTTTATCTCACAAGAATAATCATTTAAAACTACATGCTATCTCAATATAGTAAGATATAACATTTGAGAAAGTTCTAAATAATGACCTAAAATTAGCTGGAACTGTATGATTTGAATGTAACTGGCCTGTAATCTTGGCGGTAATTAAAAACAATTGTTGAAAAAGGCTTATGAAATTCATTGTTTGACTTGGTTTTTATACCTATTTATACTTTCTGACATTCAACATACTCTCATCAGGCCGCTTTTCTTTCTTTCTTTCTTTTTTTTGAGTTGGAGTCTCACTCTGTCGCCCAGACTGGAGTGCAGTGGCCACTCCCGGCCACCGCAGCCTCGACCCGCTGGGCTCCAGTGATCCTTCCGTCTCAGTCTTCCGAGTAGCCGGAACTACAGGCATGCGCTACCACGCCCGGCTGATTTTTTGATTTATTGTAGAGATGAGGTCTCGCTGCCCAGGCGGGTCTCGAACCCACGGGCTCAGGCAATTCACTCACCTCAGCCTCCCAAAGCGCGGGATTACAGGCTGAGCCACCGAGCCCGGCCCGGTCTGGGTTTTTAATGAAGGCTGGTGTTTGGAGTGAACGGAGAGGCTGGGGAGGACCCGAAAGGCCTCCAGGGCTGAGTCTGGGGCTCGTGGGTTGTGTGGCGATGCGGAGTCGCTGAGCCACGAGCAGGGGGGCAGCAGGGCCAGGCGGGAGACTGGGGGCGCCCCACGGTGCCAGGCCGCCTGGCGTCTGTGTCCAGGTGTTCTCCAGAACCGAGGGTAGGGTCCGCGTGGAGCAGCGCGTGGACAGCAGCAGCTTCGTGATCGAGAGTGCTGAGAGGGCCGACGAGGGCCGCTACACCATCAAGGTCACCAACCCCGCGGGCGATGATGTGGCCTCCATCTTCCTGCGGGTCGTGGGTGAGCAGGGAGCCGAGGCGGCTGGGCCAGGGGTGGCTCCCGGGGCCGCCAGGGCCCGCCTGACTCTCCCCC